CTGTTTTTAACTGAAATTTGTATTGTGTCGTCGCAATCATGTTCGATTATGATTAAACCGCTCTAGAAGTGTTGCCGATAACTTGACATTCCTCTTAACTGCAAATGTGATTTTTCCAAAAATGTTCAATGAGTGCTGTCTGATTTTCTATTATCATGTTACTTGATTATACGACGTTGATCAAAGTGCTCAATTTCACTTTCTTAAATGTAACATATACCAACCAATAATGATTTAAAGAATTGCCTAATATTTGTGCTGGTACCTATCCAATGCACAAATTCTTGTCAAAACTAGAAAATATTTCATCTGCGGCCGCCGAACTATATTGGCATTGTTCAGCTGCGTGACCATCAAGAGAAGATTCAGACTCGGTGCATTTTTATTAATCTGGGTTCAAGAGTTGAGGAAAACACAAATGCATCTAACTTATATAAGGCACATTTATCATGCTATAGACACTAACTTTTATTTAATCGATGTTTGGCACGAATAGCAACTGGGATTAAATCTGGATTAAATTAATCTGGTCACATCTTAACTCAATGGGATGAATTATATCCTTATTTTTATTTAAATGTTTTAGCTATTGACATCTTAAAAAATATAAATTAATTAAAAACTTAGTGAAAACAATATATAATTGTTGGTAAAAGTGAAATAAAGAATTTCTAATGTTTATAACTATTTAAAATTAAAAATGGTGTCGAAGGTGTTTCGACAGTTTGAAACTCTATTAAGGCTTGCTTGAAAGTTTTTTTTTTAACTGATTTTGACTTTTATGGTGTTACCATTAATAAGAGGTTGGAAAAATCAGTGGTTTTTAGTTTATTTGTGCACTATATTGGAAACCACCCAAAATCAGTATAGTATGATTTGAGTTACATCAAATCGATATTTTTTGTTTTTTTCAAATTTTCTTTCAATTTTACCCTTTCAAAACAATTATTTTACAAGACAAAAAATCAATTATCACCTTCCTCTTAAAAGAGAGGATACGATTTTCACTGTTCAATCCGTGCCCTTCCTTTCACACTTGAACTGTTTTTTATCACCTTCACAACTAATTTTTTATTTTTAACTGTTTAAATGGTTATAT